CTTTAATCTCAGAATTCTAACTTTTTTCTCAGAATTATGACTTTTTTCCTCAGATTTCTGACTTTTTTTCTCAGAATTCTAACTTTAATCTCAGAATTCTGACTTTAATCTCAGAATTCTGACTTTAATCTCAGAATTCTGACTTTTTTCTCAGAATTCTGACAGCTAACAAACACGTTAGCATCAAGCCGTAGCCATGTCTGTTTTAGAGACTATCTCTCTTGTTTTAATGACCTTCTGCTCCTCCATTAATGAGGGGACCCCTCGGGCACTAATTCCATCATTTATGTGTCACTGGCCCTCCCACACAACTCACATTTGTCAGTGAAGCTCCACATCTCTACCTTCATGCTGCCCATCTACATTAAGATCCAAAATTCCCATATTAAACTGAAATAAAATTTAAAAATCAGTTAACTTTTTTTTTTTCCAGTGGCCCTAATCCTCTTCCGTACCCTCCAGTACCACACGGTGTTCTGAAAATAAAACAACTCCTTAGTGGGCCGAATTTGAAATATTTTTTTTTATTCTGTTGCTCTTCTATTTTTAATCATTTATAGAGCTTTTCAAAATGAAAATGTCTAAAATAAAATTTGAAATGAAAAGAAACAACAAAAATATGTAATGTTATATGTTATGTAAAAATATGAAGTTCAGGTGAACGCTAACCCTTGCAGTTCCTGGGTCGGTATTGGTAGTAGGGGTGAATATTGGCATGTGTGTTTATTATATTATTATACGTGTCACGATACTTGGATCAAAATACGATATCATCACAATATTGCAATATCACTATATATTGCAAGATTTTTCCTAACGATCAAAATGGAATGTATAGATAAAAAAAGCAAGTGCTGTAAATTGATTTTTTTCACACCACTAATTGGTAGCCTTTCTTAGGACTCAGTAGCCTTGAAGTGGCTGTTAGCCTTAAAAAGGTTGGTGACGCCTGATCTAGATCGATGTTGAACCAAAACTTGGAAAGAAAAAATTAACATTTGCCACAATAGATGAAAATCTTGTATCCACTTAAACTGCGAGCAAGGACCAAAAAAAAAAAAAAATCGGTCCAGGGGCCTCAGTCGGCCTTTGGGCCAGGCAGATTATCCAACGAGATTTATGCTGATGAAGGTTCTCAGTCAACCAGGTCAAAGTCATTCCGTAAAAATTCCAAAAATATCCACTGGACTTGGTTTCCAGGTCTTCAAATGTCCAAGATTTGTCTTCAAATCCAGTGGATATTTTTGGAATTTTTACGGAATGGGCATTATGGTTCCAGGGGCCCGCAGCCACAAGGGGCCCACATGGTCTCATCCATTTATGGTAGCCAATAACCATTAAGGCACATGCAGTGGTCAGGAACAATGGTGGTAACCACGGCAACCTGCCTGCCACACAGTCTTCGCATAACGCTACGTTCACACCTAAAGCAGCAGAAGCAGCTAGTTCACCTGCAAAGTCAATGGTTGATGCAGCAAAAGGTCCAGCCTTTAGATACAAACAACTCTCCTCCATAAGTTGCTTTTAAAAATGTCCGGTGTAAGAATCTGTGTTTTTAATCCTTTTTCCCAACATTTTTGTTTAAACACCTGAAACATTTTTGAAGAATTTGAAGAAAAAATTCCTCTACAGCAACAGAACATATATCCATATCTATTGAGGATGTGTGTGTGAAGAGCGGGTGAGGTCATGAGTGTGTATGTGGGGCAGGATTTGAATATTTGCAACCGTCGTGAACCGTCACACTATGACCACACTACTCCACGGCTGTTATCATCCAACACCACATGGCTTCACCGTCTGTGTTCAATGAGAAGATCTGACTTCTCATCTCCCTGTGGTTGACCATGGTTTTGTCTGATCTAAGGGGGAAACGCTTTCTGTCATTTTCTCCTGTGTGGTCAGAAAATAAAAGCTTTGAGAGCTTATCACAGATAGAGCAGTCAATCATTGGGGGTTCGACTTGAATTCAGGGGATGAGATGGTGAATTCAGGATGTCAGTGTCCACAGTGTTGTGCATGATTACGTTCAATGAATGGCATTGACTAAATACTGAAAACTGAGAAAGAACTGAAAGGAAAAAAGCTGCTTTTAATGTCACCGTAACAGGATATAAGGAAGCATAGTTCTATTTTAACAGCATCACTGTTAGATATTGTTCAGATATGCTCAATAAATAGTCTGGACTACATTAGTGCAACAAAACGTAGGAAGTGTGCGTTTCACAGACATGGGGAACACACTGGAAAAAAATCTAAACTTATTGTTT